GGGAGGGGCGGGGAAGGAAGGGAGGGGCGGGGAAGTAGGGGTGGGGCCGGGAAGGAGGGGTGGGGCCGGGAAGGAGGGGAGGGGCCGGGAAGGGGAGGGGCCGGGAGGCCGGGAAGGAGAGGTGGGGCGGGGAAGGGGCGTTGCAGGGATGTGAGGCGGGGCAGGCTTTGTCTGCCTCCTGGGCCAGGGTCAGGCGGCTCCCCGGGCCACTCCTGCATGGCTATGCCCATTCATTTAATTCATTTATTCTCATTCCCCTTCATGTTCCCTGGGTCCTGGGTAGGCCAGGCCTGGGGCCAGGCGGTCAGGCCCTGCCCCTGGAGCTCTCCCAACTCCGGCAGGGGCCGGGCATGCGGCAGGCCTAGAACACATGGCGGGACTGCGGGGTGATGGAGGGTGCATGGGGGCAGAGAAGGCGGAACGGGGCCTGACCCCACGGGGAGATCCGCGAATGCTGCTGGAAGAGGGGGCTTCCACACTCATCTTGAGGGATGAGGAAGAGCTGGGGCCCAGGGAGGAAGAGGCATGGAGGCTGTCCAGCTGGGGAGGCCGCAGTAACAAACACAGCGGCGATGCGAGGGGCCAAGGGGCAGGGTGCGGGGGTGGGCGGGCAGCGCCCCGGGCCTGCTGGGCCAGGGACAGGCTTGGTGCTCACTGCCGCCTCTATCCAGGGGCCGCTGTGACGCTCTCCTACCAGGTGTACTTCATGCGGAAACTGTGGCTCAGCGTGGCCCCAGGGAGAGATGTGAAGGCAGACACCATACTCCATTACCATCAGGTACCCGGGCCGCCCCTCCTGGTGGGCGTTGGGGCCACCCTCGCTCCAGCCCGCACCTGCCCTGAGAGTGGAGCTCGGCCGCCTCGCCCCTGGGCACCCAGCTCCCGCCCAGGGCCTCACGGTGGGCCCGCCGCGCCCCTGAGGGTTCTGGAGCCAGGAGCAGAAGGACAGCGGCGTCTGGAGGCAGCGGCCGCACCATCACCTGCAGCATGCCTGCCTGCTGGGGCAGGGAGGCGCGCAGAGGATCCTGCAGCCCGTGGAGCACTGGCCCTTGCCCTGAAGGGGTAGAGCAGGCCTCGGCCTCCACGGCGAGACGGCAGGGAGCCCTGCCTCCATTCAGTGGCCTTCCCTCTGCTGGACACCTTACTCTGATGACCTTAGCTTTTTGCAGGCTCGGTTTCCTGGATGGGGGCGGGCTACCACATGAGCATGAAGCCGGGCGTGGCTGCAGCCTGAAGTCCAGCTTGTCCTTCACCCAGGAGCTGCCCAAGTACCTGCGTGGGTTCCACAAGTGCTCACAGGAGGATGCCGTCCACCTGGCAGGCCTCATCTACAAGGCCCAGTTTGGCAATGACCGGTCTCAGCTAGCTAGCATGCCCAAGGTCCTGAGGGAACTCGTGCCTGAGAACCTCACACGTCTGATGTCCTCAGAGGAATGGAAGAAGGTCTTTGGCAGGGGCTGGGGAGGGGCCCCTCGGCTGCTGCCCCCACAGGGACCCCGCCCAGGTGCCACCGTGGGGGGTGGCCTGGGTCCACTGTAGCACCTTCCCCGCACTGTCCACGGCCTCAGGCAGCAGCTGCCGCTCTGGGCCAGGACCTCGGGGCCTTGTGTGGCAGCCCGGTCGGGCAGTGGCCTCCACTCAGGCCCTCACTGGCCCTTGCTTCCCCCAGCGCATCCTCCTGGCCTGTGACAAGCGCAGGGACATGACAGTGGAGGAGGCCAAGGTGGCCTTCCTGAAGTGGATCTGCCGGTGGCCCACCTTCGGGTCTGCCTTCTTCGAGGTGAAGGTAGGCCGCGCCCCAAGCCCGGCCATCCTGGCCACGCAGGCCCCGCCCGGCTCTGGCCCCAGCAGCCTGAGCTTCTCCCCAAAACACGCCATGGGCAGGGCCAGCAGCCAGGTCTGGGGGAGCAAGTGTGCACGTGTGTGCGTGCGTGCGTCTCAGGGAGGGGCCACCTGGCCTCCCAGGTTGGGCTGTGATCACTGTGACCCCCCCTCCCTCCCCAGCAAACCTCGGAGCCCTCCTACCCGGACATCATCCTCATCGCCATCAACCGGCACGGGGTTCTGCTCATCCACCCCAAGACCAAGGTAGTGGCAGGACCCCGGGGACTGCGCCAGGGTCCTTGGGCCCCTGCGCAGCTGGAGCTGCCCTCCTGGGCTCCCACACATGGCCCCATGGGCTCTGGAGGACCCCGGGCAGCAGCTCAGACTCAGGGCCCCTGGGCCGTCTGGGCTTTGATTGGCTTCTACCCACCGCCCACTGTGCCCCCAGGACCTGCTCACCACCTACCCCTTCACCAAGATTGCCAGCTGGAGCAGCGGCAGTACTTACTTCCACATGGTGCTGGGGAGCCTGGGCCGGGGCAGCCGCCTGCTGTGTGAGACCTCTCTGGTGAGCCCGAGGCCCGGGGGCCTTCTCCCAGCCCAGACACGAGGGACCCAGAGGCTCCAGACACTGGGTTTCCCCAACCCTGACCCAACCCCCTGGCCACCAGGCGAGTTGCTCCCTGGGAGGACGTGGCCCCCATGCCTGGGGTGGGCAGGCCAGGCTGGGCCGGCAGAGGAAGGAGGTACAGCTCAGGAAGGGCTGGCCGTGTCACCCAGGGGGGCAACAAGGCCTGGCAGGGGGGCTTGTGGTCCCAGGGAGGGAAGGGGACTCGGGGCCCAGCCGCAGGAGCCCTGTTTCTCTCTTCACGCCCTGCCCGGTGTGTCACTGAGGCAGAGGTTGGACCCCGCAAGCTCTGGCCCAAGCCCCGCTTAGCTGTACCCCTCAGACTCCGACCCCACCCTTCCCCCCGTCCAGGGCTACAAGATGGACGACCTGCTGACCTCGTACGTGCAGCAGCTGCTGAGCACCGTGAACAAGCAGCGGGAGCCCCGGACCTCAGTCCCGGCCAGTCCCTAGCAGCGTGGCCTCGTGCCCATTCAGCCTCCCTCCGCAATCGGGGGGGCCTCGTGCCCATGCAGCCACCCTCTGCAATCGGGGGGGGCCTCGTGCCCATTCAGCCACCCTCCGCAATCGGGGGGTCCTGGCGGCACTTCCCGAGGACCCTTCTCTGGGCCCAAGGCCTGCTCTCTGGTGGCAGCCTTTCAAGTCACCCTCTCCCCAGAACCCCTAGCACCACCACCCTGCGGCACCCCAGGGCCCCCCCCACCGGGTGCTGACTCTGAGGGCCGAAGGGCAGGGCCGGGACTGGCAGGCCTCCAGGCCGACGGACGGATGGCGGGGAGGACTCCCCCCCAGGAATGTTCAATAAAAGTTCCGCAGAACACTGGGGAGTGTGTCAGCGAGAGACGAGGGTCGGGTTGGGGCTCGGGTGGGCAGCAGGTCCAGCAAAGGCTTCCTTCCAGAGAAAGCAAAAAGCACTGCGGCCCGTCCAGGCCCAGCAGAGGACAGCTCCGTCCTCATGGTGTGACTTCCTTCGTGTCTCCCTCCTCCCTTTCCTTCCACCCCCACCCCTTCCCTTCCTCCGCTTCAGACTGCAGAGACGCTTGCTACAGGCCTCTCTGCACACCTTTCCTCCTTCCCCCGCCCGGCACCGGACACGGGCTGCCGCCAGGAGGGTCTGCTGGAGGTGGCTGCTGGCTTCGCTGCCCCGAGGGCGGAGCCGCACGCGGGGCCTCGGAGCCTGGGCTGGGCGCCCACGGCCCCCGCCAGCCCTGTCGGAACCTGTCCCCCGACTCCACCCACCGGGCCAGCCTTCAAGGACTGAGGGTCTCTGTCGGCAGCCTGGCCCTGGGATGCCTGTCCGGTCTGGCGTCTGTCTCCCTAACCCTGCGGCAGCATATCCACCGCAATGTCACAAACCACGCAAGCGCTGGGGTCGTGTAGAAAAGCCTTCATTCGTTGTGCAAGTGTGAGTCCCAACCCCAGGGTCCCACGCTGTCCTCCCCGGAGGGCAGGAATGAGCCGCCCACCAGAGCCCACCACCTCCTGGCCCCAGGCTGCACCGGGGAGTCAGCGGGTGCCCTGGCGGCGGGGCGAGCGGGGGCCCTCCCGCTGCTGCGTGGGCTGAAGAAGCGGGACTCGCCGGCCTGGCCTGGGCACGAGGCTCCTGCTTGGCTGAGCGCGTGCGTGGTCGGGGGACTGCAGGGTGGCTCCCCGGGGGCGCCCACCCACATGGCCCTGGGGTCCGGGCGGCCGCCTGGCCGTGGGCTGCACCTGTGCCACGGGGGGCAGAGGCTGGCCAAGCTGCCACAGAATGCGAGCCACGAGGCCTCCTGCGGGGATGGGACAGGTCAGGACAGGCCGGCCCAGGTGACCCTGGCCCTACTTGCTTCTGTCCCTGGAAGACCTCGGGCCGAAGCTGTGGACGAGGATGTGTCACAGGCTTGCCACGCCCAGGCCCCTGCCCCGTGGCCTCTGGCCTCGTGGAAGGAGGGAGGGGAAGGATGGGACGCCTCGGTGGGGGGGGGGATGCTGAGCGGAGAGGCGGGCAGGGAGAAGCCGCAGGTTCGGGCAGCGGGGGCGGGCGGCGAAGCCGGGGGGAGCAGGAGGACGATGGCGGGCGGCGGGAGGGCCTCTCAGGCGGGCTGGAGGCCCGCGGACTTGGGCTGCGCCCTGCGGGCTGCCAGCTCCGACAGCTTCTTCAGCCGCTTCTTCAGCTCCAGCGGGAACTTCTCGTAGCACCTCTTACACACGGGCTTCATGTCGAACTCCACAAACTTGTTCCTGCAGAGGAGGGGCAGCGGCCAGGAGAGCTCTGGGTCCGGCCCAGAGCCCACCACCTCCCCTACCCCAGCCTGTCCCCCCGCCAGCAGGCCAGGTCCGGGGGGCACCTTGTGGCCGGACGCCATGGGAGATGAGGAGACGGGCCTCCAAGCCTCCCTTTCTGCCTAGAGACTTCTCTGGAATGCTGAAACTCCAGAACCTTCCCTCTTGTCCTCAGACGCCGGGCCGCACCTCACCTCACCTCACTGCTCCAGCTGTCCTTCCCCTCTCAGCCTCCTAGGTGAGGTCTGGCTCCTTTGGCTCTGAGCGTGTTTCCTGCTCCCTGAGCCGGAGTGTCTTTCCCTCCCCAGAGGCCGGCGCCCTTCCGAGTGCGGAGGCTAGTGTGACTCTTCCTCCCACCATGCCCTGGGGGGGTCCCTGGACCTGCCTTCTCGGGGCTGGGGCTGCCCCTGCTCCCACTGCACCCCCAGGGCCTGATAACAGTGGTCGTTCAGGGAGGGTCCGACGAAGGGTAGAGCCCGTGGCAAGCCGACTCCAACGTGAGCCCCTGATGGGCTCCGGGGTGCGGGGGGGGGACACCCTGCAGGTCTCTGCCCTCCTCGGCCCCCGACCCCTGGGAGCCAGCACGACTTACTTCAGGGTGAGCCGGCTGTTGCAGGTAGAACAGGAGAAGCAGTGCACACACCAGGCCTTGTTGAGGGCCGACACCACTGTGAGGGGCAGATGGGGGCTTAGCGGCCGCCCCCCAGGCCAGCCAGAGGCCCAGCTGTGCACACGGAGGGCCAGCTGGGCACGCAGCTGCAGGACCCACAGCCCAGAGAGCGCGGGGGAACGGGGCCTGGGGCAGGAAGGGGGCACAGGGACAGGGGCCTTACCATCGCCCTCGATCACGTGGCTGCAGGTGTAGCAGACGTCCCCAAAGAGCTGTGGACAGAGCGGGTGTTAAACATGCTGCAGGCATTCGTGCCCCAAGCTCAGAGCCAGGAGTGTGGTCCCCACCCACCCCCCAAAGGGCGGCTCTCAGCAGCCACCTGGGCCTCCTGCCAGGGCACAGCCTCAGGCCCGAGGGCCCATCAGAACTCCCCTCTGGGAAAGACAGCAGGTGGAGGCATTGCTCCCCCTAAGGCCCCTCTGCTCCCGCCCGTGTCCTGAGAAGTGTGGGCAAGGCAGTAACCCTGTCCTCTGTGCCAGAAAGGCCGGGCAGCATCGCCAAGCCTGGCAGGGGGGAGGAGATGGTAGTATATGTCACCCCAAGAGCCCAGGACTTAACACTGCCATCTCATTCAGTGCCCGGGGCAGGCCTGGGCCACAAGGCACGTTTCTCAAATGGGGACGCTGAGGCCCAGAGGGCTGCCCCGGTCCCGAGACCCTGAGCTCACAGGCCTGGCCTCAGCAGCCACGGCGGGGCCCCAGGGGCCGCCCCGTGTCCTCTCCTGCCATGCACACAGCCGCCTTCCCAGCCCGCGCCCTGCCGGCTCCCCGCAGCTCCTGCCTCCCCTGTCCCGGGCCCTACCTGGTTGTAGTGGGTCTCACAGTAGGCCAGGCCCTTCTTCTCATAGTGCCGGTGCCCCAGGAACGGCTTCTCACACTTGGCGCAGACAAAGTGCTGGGGTGGGGGGTGGGGGTGCAGGGAGGGCAGCGTCAGGCCTGGAGCGACCTCCCAGCACACAGCCAGGAAGCGGAGGCTGCTGGGTGGGGGTCTCGCTGGGCTGACACCTCCACGGACTGCTCCTGGTCAGCAGACCCCACTCCTTCCCTGATGCCCGGTGGCGCTGCATCCTCCCCGGGCCCACGGGGCACCCTCGGCCCCCGTGTCGGGGCCGGCGAGGTGCCCGGGCCGTGGCGGGTTGCACCGCCTGCCTCTGGTGCACACCTCTACAGGCCCAGAGTCACCGGGCACACCTTCCGCCCGTGGAGGCCGTGGCGTGTGAGGATTCACCCTCCCCCGGGGGGCCGGGGGCCGTGCCAGGACCCTCGCCAAGAGGCCGCCCAGGGCAGAGACTGTGGGACACAGAGCTGGCCCGGTCACAGGCTTGCACGCCTCCCTGCCAGGTGGCGTCCCTAAGGCCATCAGAGCCCCCGGCGCAGGGGTGAGTGTTCCCGGACAGCCAGTCGGACACACCTGAGCACCTCGCCTGCAGGTGGGCCGGACACGCAGCCACTTCCGCCAACCGCAATCCCACAGGGCACCCCGGGCCAGTGTCCCCAAGCTGTTCTCATGACTTTGGAATCCTCTAGAAGGCCAGGATGGGGAGGGAGGGAGGCGGTGTGCCTGCCCATCCATGGCCTGTGGGCTCAAGTCTGCTGAGTCCCGTGGACAGACCTGTCCCAGACCAGGGGTGAGGAGGGATAGCACCTACGAGGAAGGTCCCCGCTGGGAGTCGGCCACATGGCCTGGGGGCTGGAGGGCGTGTGGAGGGGCTTCGGGGCCAGGCTGGCTGGGGACGGGAGCCGGGGCGCCCACCTGCTGTCCGGGCTGGCCTCGCTCACCTCCACGTGCCACTGCTTGCCCAGCGCGTTGACCACACGGCCCTCGATGGGCCGGCGGCAGGCCCCACAAATGGGGACGCCCATCTTGTCATGGCAGGGCAGGCAGTAGAGCTCGCCCTTCAGCTCGCGGGCCTCTGCAGTCAGCTCCTTCCTGGAAGACAGCGTGAAGCCCCCAGGTGACCACCCTGCCCTTCCGTGGCCTGTCGTGCTGGGAGGGTCACCCCAGCCCCTCCAGCGCCAGGGAAGCAGCTTCCTGAGACACACTGCCACCTCCACCCCCCACCAGCTCGGTCCCAGCAGAGCACCCGCCCGGGGCAGGCGTGGCTTTCATCTCTGCTCTCTTTGGAGACTTCCTGTGTCCCAGACGGGCCCCAGGGCACAGGATTCCCGCCCGGCCCTTGCAGAAGGCGGCCTGTGTCCGGCACAGATCTGTTCCCCGGGCCCCCGCCCTCCAGACCAGCACAAGGGCATGGCTCCGTGGCCTCTCCTTCCTCCCTCATCCGCTCCACCTCACGCTCACCCTCCGCACCTGGGATTCCCTCCTCTTGGCTTCACCGGCGGCGGGGGTGGGGGGCAGCCCTCCCTCACCCATGAGTCCTCCTGTCAGCCTCGCCTGAGAGGCGTTTCCTGCAGCAGTGCCCTCCCGGACCCATTCGACCTGCCCCTGCACCCCACTCTCTGGACGCCCCTCTCTGCCCCGCTGGTGTTCCCCTCCCGCCCCATCACTGCCCCTGGGCGGCCGGCCCACCTCCACCCGGCTCTCCCCCTTCCCGGCCAGCCGGGCCCGGCTGTGCACCTACCCGCAGTGGGTGCAGCTGAAGTGGTCTGGGTGGTAGGCGTCGTTCCTGAACATGAGGGGCTGCTCGTCGATGACCAGGTGGCAGCGCTGACAGACGTACTTGCCCAGGCCCTTGGCCTTCTCACGGTTGTGGCAGGGTCGGCACAGGTGCCTGTGAGAAGTGAGGTGGGGGTCAGGGGCAGAGCCACTCTTCCTGCCCGGGCAGCCTGGGCCACCTCCCTGGAGAAGACGCCCCCCGGCCCCCGCCCGCAGCTTGAACGAACGCCTGCCGGGAAGCCTCGGGGGGCTCAGCTCGGTGGTCCAGAAAAGCAAGCTAACAGTCCTGCGGCCGGGAAGGCCACGGGTGCACCCTCTAAAAGGAGCCTCTGCACGGGGCAGAGACCAGGAGGAAACACGGCAGCATGCCGTGTTTGGACAGTACGGCAAATGTGGTGTTTTTCTTCTTTACGCTTTTTCTGAGCCTAGGACATCGTGTGTGGACGAGAGCAGACACTTCATGGGCATTTGCTGAAAAATTCATTTTATTTTTCAAATGTCTTTTAACACACACGAGTGACCGTATAGTGACTTTCGTGCCCAGCCCAGGGGCCAAGGAGTGCCAGGCCCGTTGGGCCTGCACGCCTGCTTCCTCAGGGGTCGGCCCGACAAAGAGGAACCCGGACGTCTACAGGCTCTCTCTGTCTCCAAAGACAAGTGCAGCTGTGTCAGATGGAGGCCCCCAGACCCAGGAACTGTCATTACAGAGTCTTTTTTGTAAAGACCTCAGAGTAATTTCTGATGTTACTCCCTCCATTGGGCCACAGCTGCGGTCTCTACCGAGAGAGAGAAATCAACATGGTTTCTGTTTCCTTGGGAGAAATCAACATGGTTTCTGTTTCCTTGGGCCTCAAAGGCGGCAGGAATTTAGATTCAGGGTCCCCGGGCGAAGTTGCACAAAGGCCCCAGTGCACTGCTCCCATCCCCCACCTGCCACCCCGTCTGCAAGTGCTCTCAGCATCCGGGCCCTCCTTCCCTCCCTTCCCAGGTCCCCAACCCACTCTCACCAGCCTCCCGGCCACCTGATACCAGTGCGGGCCTCTTTTAGAGGCAGGTCAGGGAGTCCACTTAAGAGAGTAACTCTCAGGAACCCCCAAGCAGGTGTGGTGGGCAGACCCTAGGTGCCAGGGCAGCCAACTCCATGGCCTTGACCGCAGTGCCTCCTACCGCGTTCGGGTCTGGACTGCCCTGTGCTTGCCCTGAGTGTGTCCTAGCTCCCCGGGGTGAAGGGCAAGGGGCCCGAGGGAGTGCCCAGCAGCCACCTGCTAAGCTGCTGACCAGCTCCCAGCTGTGCTCTTATGGACCCCGTGTGCCCCACACAGGGCAGCGGCTCAGGACAGGTCTTCTGATGCGTAAGCAGGTGAATGATTGTAAAAGACAAGAAGGGAAGGACGGCGGGCGTCATCTCCCACGACGACGTGGCCACCGAGACTGGAAGGTCGTCTCCTCGCCTGGGACCCCCAGCTCACTCTACCGGCCCAGGGGCCACCGACGTGGCCTGTGGCTACAGTCCCCATCTCCCTTCCGTCCCCAGATCCCTGAAGCCCAGCGGGCTCTCCCCGCCCCACTCTCCCCCAGACACCCCGTGCCCCAGCCCCATCCCAGGCCTCCTGCCACGGCGGGGCCACTCCCACGCCTGCCGCCTGCTGCGTCTCTGCCACAGACAGGGCATTTATTCCCTACAACCCCACTCCAATCCTGGCGACTCGTCTTTAGCAGTAGGACAACATGCAACCCATACGGAACAGTTTTTGTTTCAAAGATATAGAAATTAGTGCAACTCCTCAAAATTCTGTCGCAATGGTCAGTGCCCTTAAAACCACTGCCATCAGTCACCCGACAGAAGCCAGCCAGACTCCCACATTTCAAGTCACCGTGAGCCAGTTCTCCCAGACAGCCACCCCGGGCCACAGCGGGGAGGGGGGCCGCACACCCCACCGGCTCCCAGGCATGACAGAACTGAGCAGTCCCGCTCTCTTGACGGAACCCCAGACGGGAAACGTCTTTTCAGCAGACCTGATCCCAGCGCCAGATCTAAAGGCAACCTGCAGAAGTTTTTCCCAGGTAGAATGAAGATGGAACCTAAGAATTTTACCAGTGAGCTGCAACAGAAGAGAACAAAACACACACGCATACAGCCTGAGTTTTAGAGTGACACACGCTTGAGTCCAAATGTGGGCTCGGCCACCCCACTGGTTTGTCGTGGGCCAGTTACCTCACCTCTCTGAGTCCCAGTTTCCCCGTCTGTAAAATGGGCAGTGATCCCAAGTGCACGGGTTTGTGCGAAAGAATTTCAGACGGTACTTGTGGCAGGTACTTCCCAGGGATGGCTGTGTACATCTTTCAACGTTGTAACTGAAAAGTTTTCTGAAGTCTTTTGAAATTAGGAACGGTGATTGGGCTCCCTGTGTTACCGGAGGCATCACTTTGGGAAAGACGGGGAGCACCAAGCACTGCTGCAGCCGTCGCAGGAGCAGCCACTGTCAACACCCAAACGCCCCGCAGACTCCCAGACCCCCAGGAGGAGCTGTGGGGCAGGTGGGCGGCGGGCCGCAGCGACCCTCTTCCCAGGCTTCCCGTCCAGAGGAGGAGCCCACACAGGCGAGGGCCAGGCCTCCGGGTCCCCACAGGCACAGACAGCGCCCCATTATGAGGCAGCCTGCAGCTGCGCCCCGCTCGAGATAAAGGCCGCGATTTATTCCGCACACCCAAACGGGGCCCCATTATACGGGGCAGGACACAAGGACCCTAAGCAAGCGTCCTGAAAGAGTCCCCTCTCATCGGACCGAACGAGACTCCTTGGCCTCCCACCCTCCCCATTCACGAGACCCCCTCTGCCGATGGCCAGTGCGGGCTTGGGCGCCCAGGCCCGTTGCCATGGCGGCCAGCCCCTCCCTGGCCCCCTCCCCGCCTCCCAGGAAATGACTCTGATCTGAAACGTCCTGTTGTGTCTGTCGGTCCCAGCCAGGCCTCCCACCCGGCCGGCGCCCACTCTGCGGCTTCGAAGACAGTCGCACACTCGGCCTCTGTGCCGCTCGGTGGCCCAGCTGGGGGCGGGGGGTGGGGGGACGGCTGGGACACACTGGAATATTCACGGCCCAGCGGCAGCAGAGGCAGCCAGAGGAGTGGCCCACCACACAGGGGACCCCTCAGGAATGAAGCGGCCTTTCAGGGCCCGAGGGGCTGCAGCCTCGCCTCCCCTCCTTAAATAGCCAGCCGGCCTCCACCACAGCTGCGCGGAGCCCACCACCCACCCACAGGCTGCAGCCCACCTGCCGCCCCAGACCCGCCGACAGAGGTAAGGGCAGGGCCTGGCGGGGCGGGCGGGGAGCTCAGGCCCAGCAGAGGCGGAGGCAGAGCAGGGCAGTGACGCGAGCCCAGCCCCAGCCCCGAGACGCCTCTCTGCGGTCGGGCTCCGACCTACTTATCCAGGCCGCCCCGGTCTGAATGAGAGCAGCGCACAGGCAGTGTTCCTGTCTCCCTGTCGGGGCTTTTAAAGGAAGAGTGAACGCCCCGCCTGTGGTCCCACGGCTGCAGTGACAGCCCCCGTGCCCCTCACCTCGAACCAGGCGGCTCCGGGAGGGGCCAGAGGAGGAGTCGGGAGGGAGAGGTGCTGGCGGCCGATGCCCGGGAGACGGCCACCCCCCGCCACCAGGCCCGCCCACGTCCCCTCTGCGGAGGCCAAGTCCTGCGCCTGACCCACGGCCGGCCGGGGCCCCAGGGGGAGGGGAGAGGAACCCCGGCAAAGCAGAAGCGAGCCTGAAAGAATTCTGAAGCCAAGTCTGCGCCCCCGGAGAGAGCACGGCGCACGCAGCCTTCAGGGCGGGGAGGCGGAGGGCACGGGGCGGGAGCAGAAAGCCAGGCGCTGGCCCGCCCGCCAGGTGCCACCTGTGCAGGCACGCGGGGCCCACGCTCGGTTCGCTGCTCTGCCGTCACCATTGTGCTGCTTTTTGAACAAGGGGTGGTGCCAACTGTATCGATGGTCCTCGGGCCAGGCCCCGTGGGAGCCGCTGAGCCAGGGAGGAAACTCCAGCACGAGCTCTAGCAGCCGGGAGCTGTCAGCCTCCCCGAGAAAGGCAGGTGGAGGTGTTGGCTGTCCCCGCCGGGTCTTCCTGACCTGACTTCCTACTCCAAGGCCGTCGCCCGGCCAAGTGCCCCTGGGCAAGTTAGCTGATGCTAAGCCTCCGTTTCCTCATCTGTAAAATGAGGCAACTGACGCCTGCCCCTCAGGACTGGTGTGCGGTGTCCAGGCAGGCCCGCCGCCTCATGCCGGCCAGAGGAGGTGGTCAGTACCTGGAAGTGGCCCTGACGGAGGGGCCGGGTGACGACTGCACCGCCGCGGGGCACAGCCCGAGGTCAGCCCAGAGCGGAGGGCACCCAGCTCAGCCCCTCCCCAGCCCCAGGTTTGCAACAGGACCCCTCCCTCACTTGGCCTCCAGACCACCCCCCTCAAGTCACACATACCTGGACCAACAGGCAATAACCCCTGTAGTAGAATTTCAGGCAGCCTGAGCCACTCTGGAGCCAGGAGACATCATCTGGGCAGGGGAACGGCCCTGGACCCCTTCAATAATTAAAATGTGACACGATCGGGCAAGCGCCCGCCCTCGGCTTGAGGACGACGGGCCAGATGCTCTCTGCCACTCACCCGCGGCCATCTGTGGTGGTTCACGAGGCACGAAGCTGCTGCCGGCCCGATAGCCCCTCGTCCCCGCCGTCTGGACCACCCTCCCTCCCTCTACTGTGGGAACCCGTGCCTGGGGACGGCACCCAGCCTCCTCCTCAGGGCTGACGCGCCCATGCCCACGGGGCACCTGTCAGCCCTGCCAGGGCATGAAAGGGGAGGGCTAAGAGCCAGGAGAAGCTTGCAGGCAACCTGCTCCTGTGGCTCGGCCGGGACACGACGCCACGCAAGCTGCCCCGCTTCCTGCTGCTTCCCGCCTCTCCTGCCCCCCTGCAGCCCAACCGCACAGGCAGGGAGTGGAGGTGTTGGGGGGCGGGGCTTCAGGGGAGCCCCAGAAGCTGCGCTGCAGGCAGGGGCGCGCGAGGCTGAAACCGACCCCAGCTCGGGACTGTGGACTGTGTGGGGTGTGGACAGAGGGCGCTCTGGCCCGGCTGTCCTGCCTGCTCCTGCCCACACCCCCGGGTCCCAGGCCTGGCGAGGGAGGCGGGGTGTTAGGGACCTTCCCTCTCCTTTGTGGATCTCCCGAGTTGACCCAAATCAAAATAGGAACCTGTTACTCTGTCTGCTGGGGCGGCAGCAAGGGTCACCCACTCAGACCTGGGGTCGGCAGACAGAAACGGCTTGTTAGCAAGGCCAGCAGGGCTCCGAGCTGCGCGGCCCCGGGCCTCTCTGGGGCTGCAGATCTCGGCCAGAAAACCCTGGCAGGTCTCTCTACCTCTGGGAGAAATGGCTCTTCCTCTCCTGGGAAAGAATCCGCCTCTTGGTAGTTCAACTACCCTGGGTGGTCAAATACCCCCTGCAGGCCTGGGGCCCAAGGGCTTTCTAAACCACAGGTCTCCACTCGCTAAGATGCCTACCGTGGGGCCGGTGGGCTAAGTCCAGAAAGTTCAAGAGACCTTGGGATCCAGGCCCGGATGGCCTTCAGGTGCCGGCAGACAGAGCAGGCCTCTGCCCTCCCTGACACTCGGACACTGCATTCCCAGCCAGGCCCTCCTGGGGCGGGTGGCGGGTGCCGGGAGAACTGGGGAAGCCGGTGGGCAGGCGGGTCAGGGAGGGGTGCGCAGGGTTCTCCCGAGGCTGAAGAGAAGATGGCTGAGCTCTACACACTGGGGCCTCAGGAATAAGTGACCCGCCCATCCACCCATGAGAAGTGGGGCTCAGGGGCCCCATGCACCCCGCCCCTCAGACAGCACACAGGGGAAAGGGACAGGAAACGTGGGGCTCCGCCCCCCGCCCTCGCACCCCCCAGAGCCTCAGACAGACGGGTCACCACGCTCTCCCTGTGGTGCTGACTCCATCCCCCAGGCCTGAGAGGTGGCCTTCCGGATCACCAGGGTCCAGCCAGGGCCTTCACATGCCCTGTAGGGACGTGGCTGCACAGTGGAGAGCCGGCCCCAGCAGCAGCTTAGCACCCAGTCCCTGGTTTTGGTTTTGCTTCCTGCTGAAGTTCAGAGAGCCTGTGATGCCTGCCCACCCCCAGATGGACCCAGGAGGTGTCCTCAGTGGCCCCCGAGGCAATGCCGCGCGTGGAACAGGGTCGGGGTCGGCAGGCACCGCAGGCTTCCGAGGGCTCACGTCTGCAGAGGGTGACGCCCCGCCGGTCGCAGGCTCTCCGGGGCCTGTCTGCTTGTTCCCTCCAGGCTCAGCGCCGGGCTCTCCCTCCAGCCAAAGCATGAATGGCCTCGAGGTGGCTTCCCCAGGCCTGATGGCCAACTCCTCCCTGGCCCCCACGGAGCAATGTGGCCAAGAGACGCCACTGGAGAACGTCCTCTTTGCCTCCTTCTACCTCCTGGATTTCATCCTGGCTTTTGTTGGCAACTCCCTGGCCCTGTGGCTCTTCGTCCGGGACCACAAGTCCGGCACCCCTGCCAACGTGTTCCTGATGCACCTGGCCGTGGCCGACCTGTCCTGCGTGCTGGTCCTGCCCACCCGCCTCGTCTACCACTTCTCAGGGAGCCACTGGCCGTTTGGGGAGATCCCGTGCCGGCTCACCGGCTTCCTCTTCTACCTCAACATGTACGCCAGCATCTACTTCCTCACCTGCATCAGCGCTGACCGCTTCCTGGCCATCGTGCACCCCGTCAAGTCCCTGAAGCTCCGCAGGCCCCTCCACGCCCACCTGGCCTGCGCCTTCCTCTGGGTGATGGTGGCCGTGGCCATGGCCCCGCTGCTGGTGAGCCCACAGACGGTGCGGACCAACCGCACGGTGGTCTGCCTGCAGCTGTACAGGGAGAAGGCCTCGCAGCACGCCTTTGCGTCTCTGGCCGTGGCCTTCACCTTCCCGTTCGTCACCACGGTCACCTGCTACCTGCTCATCATCCGCAGCCTGCGGCAGGGCCCGCGCGTGGAGCGGCGCCTCAAGAACAAGGCGGTGCGCATGATCGCCGCCGTGCTGGCCATCTTCCTCGTCTGCTTCGTGCCCTACCACGTCCACCGCTCCGTCTACGTGCTGCGGTACCGCGGCCACCGCGCCTCGTGCGCCGCCCAGCGCGCGCTGGCGCTCGGCAACCGCATCACGTCCTGCCTCAGCAGCCTCAACGGCGCTCTCGACCCCATCATGTACTTCTTCGTGGCCGAGAAGTTCCGAGACGCCCTGTGCAGCCTGCTGTGTGGCAAGAGGCTCCCGGGACCGCCCCCCAGCGCCGACGGGAAGACCAACGAGAGCTCGCTGAGCGCCAGGTCGGAGCTGTGAGCCGGGGGCCACCGCCCTGAGCACCGCCTCGTCCACAAGGACCGGCCCTCAGACTCACCACCAAGGAGGAGCCCGCCTCCGCCCCAGCGGCCCCGAGAAAACACACTGCAGGCTCAGTGGGCCGCCACCACCTGCTCCGAGGCCCGAACTCGTCACCCGGCGCTGAGTCCTGTCTTCTCTGCCACGCAAATCCCTGAACGGGGAGCACAGAAGGGACCAGACGGCCACCCCCCTGCGGAGACTGGCCCTGCTCACTCACAGCTACAAGACACTCAGCAACGTCACCCCCTGCTGAGGGGGCAAGGAGGCCAGAAACATTCCCTGAACAATGAGCGTCTTTCTCTCCCAAGGGCCGCCTGCGAGGTTCCCAGCCTCCTTCCCCCGACAGAAACGCGCTGCGGTGAAGCTTTGCAGAGAGGACGCCGGAGACAGCTGCAAACGGCCCACGGGAAGAGGGGGCACTGGAAGCTGGGCGGGGGCGGGGGGGGGAGTCTAAAGGTTTTCTCTCAAGTGCAAGGTGCTTTGAGGTCCCTTTGCGGCACCTTTGCCAAAGGACTCTGCATTTAGGGGACACAAGCTATACATTAGAACCCAACACTGGAAGCACATTTCAGGGTGGTCGCCAGGTGACAGCCAGCAACACGGGCGGGACCCGTGAGGCACATCAGCTCTCCATCCCTCCCGCCAGAAACCCACACACAGACCTGCAGGTGCCCGACAACCCCCAGGGCTTCTCAGCAGCTGCCCGGTCCCTCCCGGGTCCCCGTGGAACACACGCTATGGGTGGACGGCCACAGGGAGCTGAGCTTTGTCGCCGCCGAGGGGCGGGGAGGGCAAGGCCCAACCTGCGAGCCCAGCTCCCACTAACCCAGACCCAGCAGGGGCAGAGCCCCACTCCTTCCCAAGAGGCTTCCCCCAGTCCCGGCGGGCCAAGCTTTGAGCCGTTTTGCTTACAGGGTGGCCTGATCGCCCTCACCGGTCCTTTCTTGTATTTGATTATACTGACCATAAACATAACTGTGCTTGAATAACTGAAGGTTATTCTGTTTGGTTAACACAACTCCCTCCCCAGAACTTTTCTTCCCTCTGACCCAAGAATGGCAAAGCGGAGGCAAAGGCAGCAGCAGTGTGGACTGTGGTTCTGGTGGCCCTACGGTGGGCCTGCCCCGCGCAGACTCTGAAGTTCTGCCCCGTGGGCTTCAGAGCGCCGACCTGGGCTGGAGGGTGTGCGTAGGGCCCCCGCACTCCTTTCATCACAGTGATACTTTACTTTCCTGAGCACGTCCAGCCTCTTCCGGATTTTTCCAGCAGAGCACCGGAGTAGGGGTCCCAGCGTGAGCTGCGGCTCAGGCCCACACCCGGCAGGTGACCCCACGGACCAGCATGGGACCCCCCCCGCCCCGCTGCACTGTCTACCCCCCGATGGTCTCTCAGATCCGCACCCAATACCCAGGCTGCTACTGAGTGCTCTGCAGACACCAAGACGGACAACACGCGTCTCTGGTGGGGCAGGCAGATGGGCGAGACCACGACGGCAGCGTCAGGAAGGGGTGCTCGACAGGCACCAGAGAATGTGACGAGTGCCCAGACGGGAGGGCATGGGAGATGGACAGCTAGGGCGCTGCTAATGAGGCAGGCCTGCTCTTCCCTGAGGCCTGGCTGTCGGCAGAGGGGAAACTCGGAGTCGGCTGGTTGGTTGGGCTCTGTGGCATTTGGGGTGCCCTCTGGGCACCAAGTGGAGCTGGCACGTGGGCAGTGGGTACTCTGGGAGAGGTCTGGGGTGGAGGCGGACATCTGGACTGCCCAGCACACACTCACCATGTGAGGCACCGGAACTTTGGGCCCGGTGCAGAGCCCCAGAGGAGCCCAACGTGGAGAGACGGGTGGAGGAAAGTGAGCCAGGAGAGGAGAGGGACAGCGCAGCCGTGAAGTAGGGGGAAACTCCCAGAACACGGGGGCCTGGGTGCCCAGAGAGGAGCAGGGGCTGCCGTGAAGGCCGCGGAGGCACCGACCAGCCTGGGCGGTGGGGAGCAGACGGGAGGACGCGGCTGGTGGGCTGGGGAGGGCTGCAGGCAATCGCTGTGGAAAGAAGGCTCAGAGGGTGCTTTGAACCCTGGGGGCCACCAAGCCTGAGCCCTTAGAAAGGGAGAGAGAGCAGACCAGAGCCATGAGCCCCTGCTGGAGAGGGTGTGTGGGGTGAGCAGGGCTTTGGGGTGCAGCGACACGGCCCCCACTCTGACAAGGCAGGGGGGCAGCACAGATGCCGGGCGGCAGGGGTGCCCATCCGTCGGGGAGGGGGAGGGGAGGTCCTGGCTGTGGGTGTGATGGTGCAGGGACAGTGGGGGGTCGGGTAGGAGGCGGGGAGAAAAGAGCAAGTCTTCGTGGAAGGTGACAGCTTAGCCTGCTGAGGAAACCTGGGCCCCAGCTGAGTGCTGTCCCTCCAGCAGCGCTCGTGGGGCGTGAGGACGGAGGTGGACGGCCGGGGCCAGCACTGGGGGTGGCCGGGCAGGCAGGAACTTGACTCAAAGCTCCTCATCCTTCTGCTGCACCAACTTGGGCCGCTTGGGCACCCGCTTGGGCCACCTTCCTCCTTGCTGTATGCTGTCAGCCTGCTCCCAGGAACAGCCTCGAGCCTGGGGTGGCCCCCGACTCACCATCCCTCACTCTCTCCAGGCTCCGTCCTCACCCGTACACTGGACAGGGCTCTCCCGTCCGCCTCGCAGGGACAGGGCTGCACGGCAGCCCCATCCGCAGCCTGCAGCGCCCGGACCGGGCCTGGACCCGTGATGAGGGGCCCATCTCACCTGCCGGCGTTCTTCACGAAGCCCAGGTCTGCCAGCTCCACGTCGCACAGCTCGCAGCGGAAGCACCCGGGGTGCCAGTTGTTGTTCATGGCCTTGATGACGCGGCCGATGATGAACTCGCCTGGAGGAGAGAGGTTCCTGCTCGCCTCGTGCCCTGCCCCTCCGCGGGCCCCTCCCAGAGCCGGGAGGGTGGCGCCCGCGGGAGCCCAGGGCCGATGCTCTGAGGGGCAGAGCTCTCTGCCCACCCGCCTCCCAGGCAGCGCCGAGGCCTGTGCGGCCCTTACCGCAGGTCCTGCAGCACGGAGCGAACAGCATCTGGAAGTCGTGTTCGCAGTACTTCCGCCCTTCGAGCTGCAAACGGGGCCAGCAGACAGAGGACAAGGAAGGCACTGTCATCCCCCGAGCTGCGCTGGCCCGTCTGCTGGGTGAGGACCTGCCCTCGGGGACGCTGGACAAACACCCCACTTTGTGCACCTGCTACCACCACAGGAAGCTGGGGGGGGGGGGCGGTGTGGGGAGGAATTCCAGACAGTGAGCTGCCCGTTCAAGGCCTGGAGATGGAACGGGATTGGCCTGTTCGACTTGGGGAGAGTGCAAAGCGCGGGGCCTCGAAGAAGCCGGCAACTCAGCAAGGCCAGCCCCGCAAAGGGCCACGGCTGCTTGCAGAAGATCTCGGCCCTGCTGGTCTCAGGAACGAGCTGAGGGCTGGGGGCGGAACGTCAGGCTAGGGAGGGCGGGGATCGCGTTTGAGTTCTGTGTGTCCCTTGGCCCTGTTTCCTGTGTGAGAAGTCCATTCCCCCAGCGGCCACAAAAGACCCAGGGAAGGGACACAGAAGGAGGGACACAGGAAGGGGGGCAAGGGAGTCCTGCAGCCGCTGTCCCCATCTGTCTGGGCAAGGAGGGCCCTCACACTGGCCCCAAGTAAGCCCCTGCTTTCTTCTCCCTTGATAATTGTATTTGGTTTTCCCCTGTTCTCTAAAATGAGTGTCTTATTAAGCTGCACCTGGCTAGAGCCCTAGCCAGTGACCTTCAGAGGCGGCAGGAATTTAAACTGTTGTAGGCACATCCACAGCACCCTGCCCACATCTCCCCTCCCCCCACCCCCGCCTGCATCATCGGCCAGCATTTCCCAGGAGGCACCACAGGCAACGGCAACTCCTACTCTGCCAGGCAGATCACACACCCCACAGCCATCTACCAGCCCGTCCCATCAGCTTGGAAATCTATCCAGCCTCTGAGCACTGCCCTGGTGTGCGGGTAAACATTTCACAACTGGCTCTGAGGCTGCCTTGTAGCGTTTGCCGATTTCTATGGTATAAATATTCCCACCCGTGGTCAATTTCAAGCTAACAACAGACCTCCGCATGGAGCTGAGAAGAGACATCAGTAGCCACCACGGTACGGTGTTTCCAGCACACAGGCATAATAACAAATCATAACCTCAAAGGCATAGCTGATCGTGAAATGTAATGAAGTAATTAGGAAGTGGTGAGTTTTGAGTATCTGTTACCTTTGTCGTTTTTTTTAATTAATTTTTATTGGAGTATAGTTGCTTTACCATGTTGTGTTTCTACTGTACAGCAAAACGAATGTTACCTTTGTTTTTAATACAGTTTTATCTCCTTGTATGTCTATATCATTTAACTTTTAGTAATGGCTGTGTTTAACAACTGGCTTGCAAGGCTGCTGAAAATTTAATGATCTGCTCTTGTGACCCAGTGCAGCCCAGTGTAGGCCCCTTCGCTTCCATCTGGATTACCGAAATAATCAGCTTCTGGTCCCACCTGTTCTCCTAGCTTCTGTCCCCGCCGCACACAGTCTCTCCTCAGCATAGCAACCAGAGGTCCTTCTCTAAGGTCAGACAGACGATGTGACCCCTCCCCTCCAGACCCTGCAGTGGCTGCTGCCCCTCCCAGGAGGAAAGCCTGAGGCCCCACGAAGGCCCACGGGGCCAAGCAAATCTGCCTCCCCACTCTCATCTTCTTCTGTTCCCTCTCCTTTGCTCTGCTTCCATCACACCGGCCCCCCACTGCTCCCCAAATACCTGCGTGCTCCAACCTCAGGGCCTCTTTGCCCTTGCTGTGCCCTCTGCCGAGAGCTCTTCCTGCAGGTACACGCTGCTCTCTCACCTCCTTCAGGTCTGCTCAGACATTCCCTTCCCTGATCACCACCCCCCCGCAGATGCCTTACAACCAGAGCACTTAGCGCCATCTGGTACACGTGGGTTACGTTTACTGCATGACCCCAGGGAGGGTAAGTGCCACCACGGCAGGGCGTTTGCGCCCCAGGGCCCCCCAGCGTCTGCCCAGAGGTGACAGGATGAACGGCGACTCTCCTTCAGCACCCATGGCCACCAGGAGAACACTGTTCACATCTCACAGGTAAG